CTAAAGCCCTAAACCCCTAAATCCTGGACTTCCAAAGAAGGCCTTCCAACCCGCCTGTGCCTGGGGCTCGGAGGAGGCTCTCCGGCGTCGGAGTTTTCGGGTTTGAGGTTCTGGGGTTTAGGGTTTAGGGTTCTGGGGTGTGCAGTTTGGGGTCCTACGGCTGATGATATAAATCCTGCATTACCCATATCAAGGAATGTACCATAATTCCCATAGTTAAGGGTCCTTAAGGTAATGCAGGATTTGTTTCATCAACAGTAGCATTCCGGCGGTGAGGCGACGGTTTTGGGGGAAGTTAGGTTTGCGTGTTCTTGGAGTGAAGAAGGCGTGCAGGAGGTTCAGCGTGGGGTGTAGGAGGTACGTGGTGCAGGGTTCGGGGTTTAGGGGGTTTGGGACTTCTATGTGGGATTGTTCAGGGTTTGGGGCTTAGGCTGCTGATGGGGTTGGATATTACAATACTTAGAGGACCAGACGACTTCGTCAGTAGGGTCATGGCTAGCTATAGTTATCATTCTTTGTCACCCCAGTTAAGGTACTTAGAAGCCTACTTTGAGCTGAAGGGCTCCGAGGTTTGCGGGGTAGTAAGTTTTATATGGGGCCTTAATATTTACCAGTACATTATAATTTTGCTATAATATACTCCGCCAAACCCTGTTCAAAGCCTTCAGGCCCCTAAAACCTGAAAATGTTAGGATCCGCATAAAGAACCCAAAAGAAAGACTTGAGGTTCGTTAATCCGGCTTCTAGATTGGCCTTTAGACTTTCTGGAGGTACTACAACCCCTATCCTGTGCCACAGGTTACAGTAATCCTGTACTTATCCCAAAGTAAGGCTCGAAGAAACCGAAACCCTGCGCAGCTGCATGCGGGGCTGAACTGGGTTCTACAGGGTTTCGAAAAAGGTCGCAAAAGCCTAGTTCATGGGTTACCTGATTTGGGGTTACATTCTACTTGAAACCATGGTTACCTTGGCCACCTAATCCTCCAAGTACAGCTTGGACAGGCATTACGTGCTTGCCTCTCGCTTATTCCGGCACCGAGCCGTGACCTCAAGGCTCGGAATCCAGCATTGCTTCGCTTGAGGTGGAGGCTAGGGTTTCGGTAAGTGCGCATATAGGGCTATACGGGGACCCTTACCTCTGTTGGGGTGTCTTTGCAGGTTAAAAGCATATTTGCCAGGCCTCGTCGGTAAAGCAATAAGGTCAGGTTTTGAACTTGTGACACCCGGGGTTACGTGTCACGCCTGTGATTGTTGGCGTGGTGACCTTGAATGATCTCGAAGGGTTTATGGTTTAGGCGCAACTCACCAGATCGAAAGATCGGTTGGACCAGTATTCTGCATATCCTGAGCAGTCACCAACGATGCAGCTTGGTTGGACTCAGATGAGGTCCATTATGTAGGATTTCGAGCAAGACCCGGTGCACATCACTACCCCAAAACACAGGCGGTTAATTCCTACGGTCCCAAACCCATTGAGACCCCAAACCGCAGATGCTGAACCCACAGTCTTAACCTAAAGCTTTAAGACTTGAGAAGCACTGGGAGAAGGACTGCCTGCACATCGCCGTCTCGGCCCACAGCGGCCCCAGGACTTGGAATGGGGCTTGTGATGAATCATGTGTCTTTGGTCGTTCAGAGTAGGTCCTTCCTCGAGACATTCGCTTTGGAGTGCTTGAAAGGTAACTGAGATGTAGGTGGTTCCGAGGGCTTCCATGCAAGGATTGTTGGTTGCAAACAAAAGCAGTACGTCACGTGCTGAAATCGAATGACAAGTTGAAGCGCCTCCTTGGAGGACGAACTCCGTCTCTGTGTGTGTGTGTGCGGTGTCTCTGTGCGTCGTGTCCCTGACGGTACTGCATGTATGCTGCTTGTGTCAGCAACCGTGTATGTTGGTTTTCTCCCTTGCTTGTCTGTTTGTCATTGTTCGTGATGACCATCCCCCCACATTCTTCGAACCAAATTCCACGACATGAGATCTGAACCGTGAAAATCTCTAGGCTTCAAGTTCAAGTAGTGCTTGAGGTTCAGAGGTCCCCGTGTCACCAGGGGGAAAGTTGGCTAGTTGTTTGCAGGTTCTGTGCGTCCCAGCTAAACCCTCTACCTCGTGCCTCACCCTAAATGCCCGAACCCTTCGGACATCGAAACGCAAAACTCCAACTCCTAAACCCTGAATCCTGACCCTAAACTATCCTAAACTTCAAAACTCTAAACCCTAAGCAACAACCTCGTACACAAAAACCGAAAACCCTCCCAGAACTCTAAGCCCATACCTGAGCCTGTCCGCCTGTGAGGATCCTAGCGGAGTTGCTTGAAGCAAAGGCAGAAACTCGGCAGTGGTAAACGCAACGCTTAATTCGGGAAGTGGCCTAGTCTTGTTTCCATAGCATCGGCTAGGGTGCTGTTGCTGCGTTAGCGTTCCCAAGATTCAGCTTGTTGGGGCACAGAGATAGGGTTGAGGAAGCGTGGTCTAGGGGTTTGGGGCTTTTAGCCCTAGACCCCTGGAGGCCCTAAGCCCGAAGCCCTAAACTGCTTCCTCGAGGGGCGCTGGGCAAGTTCTCGCATCTATCCTCGCATTTCAGATCCGGGGTGACTCTTTGGGAGTCGCGCAACGGAGAATCCTTTTCCCATGGTTGCTCTTCTAGGACTGGAATAACAAGCCATCTACATGAACACAGCACACACATATGTCTATATGTATATATATATATACACACTATATATTTTCGGCATTTCGGTGCACTCAGTGGCGTACGCTGCTGAATTTAGGATGCAAACGCTCCCATCGCGGCCGTAAAAGGCCTCGAGAGCTCGCAGTCCCAGAAAGACTGCGGGGCCTCCAGCTGTACTTGCCCGCCTGCTACAACTGTACTCCAGGCATCTTTCAAGACCCTGGGTAGGAGGCATGTGGCATTCCTGGCCACGGCCGAAAGGTCTACGACTCTCAGCTCCTCACGCCATTCGGCTTCCCAGCGTGGAGGCAGTTCATGGTGAGTCTTCAACCGGGTCCCGTTGCTCAGGGTGAAGGCCAATAACTCCATCCAACGGACTTCTGAGACACATCGCTTGAAGTCCTGTAGTGTAGTACTGGAGCTCGACAGTGGTAGCCAGTCGACGTCTCGGATACTGGTCTGGCATTCGCTGAGGGCAGTAAGGGCTGTCTCGGCCTGCAGCGTCGACCATTCCCTCGTGTCCTCATCATTCTGGAGCTCCTGGATCTCGCGCGAGACCGTCATCAAGATGTCCTCTTCCTCGGCAGCGTAGAGGGGATAGTCCGTGAGGATCTTCAGGAGCTCCGCACTGACTTCACTGGCCTCCCTGTCCAGGTCCACCGCATGGAAGTAGTCGCAGATCTTCCTGTAGGCCGCCTTGACAACATCGTGCCAGAACTCTTCTCCTTCTGGGAGTAGGTCTCCGCTCATACGCGTCGGGGCTGCCAAGGTGTACTGATCGACATCAGCCTTGCGGCGGCACTTGCTGCCGATGCCGTGCCCCACATGGTCAGCTCTGTGACCCGCCGCCTGTAGGGACCTCACGCAAGTCGTAGAGGAGCGGAGATGTACCCCAAGTCGTCCCTCCGACCAGCATTCAACTCCGCAGGCGCGGCAGCGGGTGCCGACCGCATAGATCCTGTAGGTGGCCACTCGCTTGTGCCGCTTGAAGAGATGGACACTCAGCTGCGCCTTGGTGTCGAAACACTTGCGGCAGGCTCGGCAGCCCCACCGCTCTTGCGGCAGGTCAGCTGCCTTCGGGCGGAGGGCCTCTAGGTCCTTGCTCATGGCCCATAGGCAAATGTCGATCGCCTCGGCCATTACTCGCCTCTCCTGCTCCGCCGCAATCTTCGTCTTCACCAGCCGCTTGATCCTCGCCGGTGACTGCTTCAGGATGTGCCACCACTCTGGCCAGGAAGCATCCTGCAATCTTGGCCACTGCCGCTCACATCCCTGTATAGCCCAAGCAAGGTCGTCTCGGACCCTGCACATCCAGTCCTTCTCCTCTTGCAGAGCCGCCCAGAGAAGTCCCGGTCCAGAGGCCACCATGGACACCAGAAAGCTCATCCGCTGTCGGAAAGCCAAGAGTTCAAGGGGGATACAGCCCGTCATCCACATGGCCAGCGGCAACGGGAGGTGGAAGAGAAGGCTGCCCTCGATCTGCTGGGCAAGCAGCCTCCGCACAAGTCGAGCATGGCCGTTCCTCATGGTGTCCCATGCTTTCCCTGCCGTATGCCAAATGACCAGGTTGAAAAAGGTCGTGGCGACGGTGATTTCGAAGAGACCCGCCCTCGTGACAAGCTCGAGGGACCGGTTGTTCAGCAGGAGGGGTTTGGCCGATTCGTATGCCTGCGCAGCAAGAGCCAGCCTGTAGCGTGCTTCCGGTTGCAGCGTGAGGCGGTTATCCAAGATACTTCCCAGATGGCGATATTGGCAGACAGTCGGCACATCCATGCCAAGATCATGTAGTCGCAGACTGGCCTTGCCGTTGCCAAAGTATTGTCTCCTTGCCGTAGTTGACCCTGGACCCCTCAGCTGTATCATGAGGCTCGTTTTTCCAACCTTGGTATTCGGCTGCATGCCATGGGCGAGGAGGGTGCCCAGAACGATCGAAGTCATTCTAGACGTCTTGGTCAGCAGCCCATGCGGGCTTCGATCCTCCATGACAAAGGCAGAATCGTCTGCCCAGGTAGCGTCCCAGGCTTGTTGGGGGGCGCCTCCCCCAGCTGAAGGAAAGATTCCAACTTCCTCCTCCCATTCAAGGCTGAAGTTCAGCCCTTCCGCTTCCAATTGCTCGTGTATCCGATAAAGGATTCGGGCATAGATGAAAGCATAGATGACGTCTGCGAAGGATTCTCCTGGCCGGGAGCCGGCCCTGGAGTGGCACAACTTGCCACCGCCAGAGTAAGCGGTGATGAACCAAGTTTTCATGTACATGTCCTTTATGACATGTCGCAACCTCGCATTGACATCAGCCTGCGCCAACATGCCTCCACTTCGTATTGTCTCCATCATGTCATGGAGATCTTCGGCGTCCAAGCCGAATTTGGAAAACAGGGAGATCACCTGGGCGTCCGACTCGACAGCC